GGTGGCTCTGGGGTCTGATGGGGTGGGATGGGCCTTCTGGGAGGAGGAGGGTGGTTGAAGCTGGAGGGGTGGGCCTCCACTTCTTATGGGGAGGAGTTATGGCAAAGCCTCCAAGCAGGTCCTTCTCGAGATCAGGGGCCCGCAAGTTGGCTGTGGGATAGAGGTGGGAGTTGAACCAAATGGACAAGTGTGTGGATTCGATGAGGCAGGGCCCTGGGTGCAACTTAAGGCTTTTGGAATTCATCTTGGACCAGAGGCTCTCAACCCTGAGCTGGCATTAGCGTTCCTTGTGGGGTTTGCTTTGCTGACTGCTGGGCCCCACCTCCTAAGTTTCTGATCCAGCTGATCTGGGGTGGGCCCCGAGCGCTTGAATTTCTGACAGGTTCCTAGGTGCTGCTGGTCTGGGACCACATTTTGAGGGTGTCTGACCTAGAGGCAGTGGGGGTTGTTTCTGTTGACTGGGGAGTCCCCGGCGAGAGCAGCGTGGGGAGGACCAGGGGAGGAGAGCGTTTGGAGATGCGAGGAGGTGGGTCTCAAGCCTCGGGTGGTGGAAATGGAAAGGACGGAGGATTGACAGTCTTTGTGACTGTCTAGTGATGGGAAGAGGGGAGGAGCTGCAAGTATGGGGGGTGAGGGAGAAGGCTGACTTTGGAATGAGGACCAGGAATCTGTGTTCAGGCATTTGACATTTGTAGAGGCAGCAGTGGGACTTTGAAAGGGGGACTCTGGGTGGCGCTCTGCAGGGGTAGGGGGTGGGATGGTGGTGGGACTCCTGTGGAGGCTGGGAAGCCCATCCTGCCTGTGCTGGCCCAGGGATGCTCCTGAGGCCCCCTAGAGGGTTGGTGCAGAAGGGCCTGCAGTCACAGGATGGTTTTTCCTTCTTGGCAGCAGACTTGCTCATGGAAGCAGACTCACAAGCCCATTTGCTCCAACCTCTCAAACCACCTGCGCTAACCCATCGACAGAAGGAGAACTAAGACCCGCTCCAGTTAACCCAGGAGCCGCAGCTGCCTGAAAAGAGAGGCTTGGAGGGTTCCCTGAGCACTGGAATTCCAGTGTGGTCTTTGTAGGATGGCGAGGTCACCAGTCAGGAGGCAGGCCCCCTCGGACAGAGGAGAGAGCATCAAACAGTTGCAGAGCATGGAAAAGACAGGTTTTCTTTGCATTAACTTGAAAGTATTTCCTACGTTACGCTGAGAGGTTGTGCTCGTGTTAGGAAGTGGTACAGACCTTTCTGTCCATGCTTTTTCCAGCTACAGGGAGAGCTAGTCCTGCTGTAGGGAGTGGGGTGGGGTGGGGTGGGGGTAGTTAACAATATCCAGTTTGTAAAGCTCTCTTAAAGCAGCACAGAAGCCCTTCAAAGCAAGCTTCTGGAACAAAGAGAATTGAAAGGGAACCACTCAGAACTGTCGGAGTATCAGGTTACACCTGGTACATTTTCTTCCACCCAGACTCCTTTAGTGGGAGATCACATCTCAGAGGATGTAAGATTTCTCTTTTGAGAGCAGCGTCTCACTGAGGATTGTTCTGTGCGTCAAAGCCGAGTGGCCTCAGGGCCTCCAGGCGCGTCTGCCGGAGGCGTCTGGTCCCCTCGGTTCTGCCTCTCCGGCTGGTGTTTGCAGCCTCTTGCATCTGATGTCAGCTGAGGCCCCTTCCTGGTGCCTCCTTGCTGCCATCCACGGAACAGGAAGAGCATTTCCCTGCGTCTCCCCTCTCAGCAGAGGTGGTGACCTGAGGAATAATGCAGATCCAAATAGCCCTGCTCAGCTCTCGGGGCCACAGGGCAGCAACAGGCTGGTAGCCGGGGCAGAGCCCCATAGTCAGAGGAAGGCCTGGCTCGTGCAGGCGGTCCACGTCCAGGGTACTGCCAGTCCGTGGGATCAGGCAGGAGGTGGCTAGCATCCCTGGCACCCAGTTAAAAGCAAGGAGAGTGCTTCTCACCCCTGGCTGAATGTCAGAATCTCCTGGGGAGCTTTTAAAAGATATTAGGGACTGAGTTTCTCCCCTCGGGATTTCAATTCAGTTGGCCTGGAGTGGGGCCAGCGCCTCGGGAGTTTTCAAAGCTTGCGCAGTGACCCTGGGGGCAGCCAGGGATGGGAACCCCCTAGCCAGGGTGGGGGGATGCTGGAGAGCCATGTCGGTGCCTTCTCTTCCAACACCCCCCACCCTCTCCCCCAAGCCCAGTCCAGTCCATTTCAGTTTCCAGCTCATTCCATTGTAATCCAGTCCAGTCCACTCAGTTTTCTTGAGTGACTGTTAATGGCAGACGCTGGAAAAATAAGGAGGCGTTATTCCGATCCTGCCTTAGAGGAATAAACTGCTTATTAGGTTGTGACAGATGCCTCGTAACAACAGGGGATGGTGGGCTGGAGCACAGGGTGTCGGGGAGGGGCAGGGAGCAGGAAGGTTAGGGAGAGATAGGGGGGCTGATGAGTTTTTATTCTGGGCTGAGATCCCATGTCGGGGGCGGGAGGGGATACAGAGGCACTTTTCAACAGGATATTTTCTCACTGGTACATTTTCTCGCCAGGATGACAAGGTGAGCGTTAGTGACACTTCATGGTGCCGAGTGCCAGCGAGACTGAGACCGCGGAGGGGCAGGGTGAGGTCCTTCCTATAGCGCTGGCTCCCAAGGGTGAGGGCTGTGCCCCGCCGCCCCCTGCCCCTGCCAGGTGCTGGTCCAGGCCACATCCCTCTTGAAAGCCCTGTCCCAAGAGGGCAGGGGGCGGCCAGGCAGAGTCTAGACCATCAATCCCTTTATCCATCTCTCGACACTGTTGCCATTTTCTTTCCGGATTGGTTGGAAACCAGCATGGGGGTCCCTCCAACAAAGACCTTCTAAAGCCAGACCTCCCCCGAGGGGCTGGACTGCGCCGGTGTGCGTATGTTTGTACGAGGTTTTCTCCCCAAGGTGGGAGTCTCCCTGTGTCGTGTCCCTTGAGAACTGGCCCTTTACCCTGCGGCTTATGAATGCAAACACTAGGCTGAATGAATGATAACTGGTTTTGGAAGTGCTTGACCCAGGAGGGCCTTTGACCTCTCACAGCCAGCGCATCTCAAGAAGACTGGGGCCCCTCATCAGTTGAGCACATCCCCCAGGGAGTGTGGACCTCCTTCCACGTGGGGCCCACCCCACGCCCTGTGTCACCGCAGCCCACTTCATTTTAACCGTGGAAGTTTTCACTGATGGTTATTGAGGTGTTCTTCGTGGAGGCCTTTACGCACAGCTCCAGTGGGGAGCTGCTTGTCCACCCCGGCCACCCTCTGCTGCCACTTCTTCAGTCTCCCCAAAGTACCATAGAGAATGAACTCAAGTTTTCACTTCAAAGGCAAGGAGAGAAGGCCATGCTTTCTGGCAGGTCATGCAGTGCCACTTTAAGACAGTTTTATTTGGGCAGTAAAACTTCTGAGTTGTTCTTGGCCGAAGTTCTAATGAAATGGAAACCTCGAAATCTGCTTGGAGCAGTAAGTACAGTCTCACCCCATGTTTCAAGGACTAAAGGTTGTAGGCGATCTTATGAGTTGATGTGATTTATTTTCATAGAGGATTGTGATCGATGCCTCCTTTCAGAAGGCAGAGGAGGCTGTATCATTTGGTTTGAGTGAGCTCTGTACCTGAGATGGGAGGGACTGTTGAGCTGTGCTGGAGAGCAGTGCTTCTCAAAGTGTGGTCCACAGGCCTGCAGCATCAGTATCACCTGGGGACTTGTTAGCACTGCGCATTCTCGGCGAACATCCAAGACCGCCAGGTGATTCTGATGCACACTGGAATTTGAGAACCACTGCTTCAGTATGTCCTGGCTTTTAGGGAAATAGTGTTGGGAGAGAGAGAAGAAAGGATGTTGGTGACAGCCGAGGACAGATCAGCCCAATTTACTGAATCTGTGCTAGCAAGGGCAGTCTCAGGCATGGACCCAGAGGAGGGGCAATGGACTGCAGGGCTCAGGGAGCAAACAGATGGTCCCCCAGCGCTGGCCCCATGGGGTTCCTCATGGGAGGTCTACTTTGTTTGCTTATCAGAAGGGAAGTTAGCAGCAAGTATCCTGGGGAAGGAGGGCAAATTGTTTTAATGCTGTTAGCATTCGTTTCAAGTGAGGAGAGAAGTTCTCTGCATTGTATGTATATTTTTTAGAATTAATAGTCATTCCACTAAAGCGACGAATTAAAGATCCTAGTCCTTAAGTTTTTCATTCAATTTACAAATCATGTTCTGTTTATAATCTGGCAAGTTTTTTATAATCCCTTTTAAGGGGCCTTTGGACAACGTTTGATCCTGTTTATAAATTTGGTGATTAACAACATTTAAACTTTTAAAAGCGTGTTTAGAAATGTAACACTCCATTTCATTTTCAAGGTCTTGCTGCCTGGGTAAAAAATAAACCCTTTGCAAGTACTTAAATGATTCTCATCCATAATGAGCCACTTCTAAACGTGTACGTTCTGATACTGCTTATGAACCTGATACGATTTTAAAATCACAGGTGTAACTCATTGTTGCACTTTAAATTAGAATTACAAATCGAATCCATTAGGTACTCTGCCAAGTTCTCTTAAACACTACAAGTTTTGGGAAAAAGTACAAATTCCCCATCACAAAACTGTTCCCACTTCAGGTCTGACTTCATGTTTATTTAATTCTGAGTTTCCCAGGGGTAAGATGCGTTTTCCTCGGGTGGGCTTTTGGGGGATAATTAAACAATAATTTAAAAAATTAATAAGAAAGGAATACATCTTTGAATGTGAACCCAGAAAAGGGGTGCTGTTGCACCCCTGGGCCCGCTGCCTTCTGTCACCCCCTTCCCAACACAACTGCTGGGCGGGATGTTTCAAGTCCCACAGTGGTTTTATTCTTGGGCTCTGTAGATCGGTGCAACCCGCAGATAGAAAGCCCAGGCAGGGAGCCGGGCCAGAGCTAGGTGGCCTTTCTGCCCTCTGGCTGCTGGGGTCTCGGGCAAGTGTGAACGAGGATGACTGACATCCGTTTTCCTCTTTCTGGGCAGGTTGGCCTCATCCAGCTTGGGCAGGAGCAGGTGCTAATCCAGCCCCTCAACAGTTCCCAAGGACAAGAGCATCTGATCAGGCGCAAATGGTCCTTGACACCCAGCCCCTCTGCCGAGGCCCAGCTGCCCGGGCAGCTCTGCCAGGTCCTAACAGGTGAGTCTGGGAAGCAGCCTGAGTGGCTCACAGCACGTGCCCGTTTGGCACCATTGCACGTGCCCAGACCATCCCCATTGGTGCGTTGCCAAATGCCCTGAAGTCATGTGAGCAAGAACCTTCCTTTCCCTGTATTTTGAAAGCATTTTCTTTTATTGCCCGTAAGGTTGCTTGCTTTTCCTTTCTACGTGTATTAATGGCAGCATTTCATGTGTGGCAGCCCCTTTGAAAAAGGCATTTCTGCAAAGAATCTAGGATCCCTTTCGTGCAGTGTCTCAATTTTATAGACCAGGAGCAAACTGAGGCCTGAAAAACCTCAGTGGCTTCTTGTTATCAATCCCGAGGTTGGTGGCAGAGCTCGGATGAGAATTCCTTCTCCTGGCACCCCGGGCAGAGCGTGCTCTCCTAATACAGTGGTGCTCAGTCCTGGCTGCGCTAATATAAGTCACCTGGGGTGGTGGGTAATGAAGCAGTGGTTCTCAAAGTGTGTCCCCTGGGCAAGCAGCATCAGCAGCCCCTGGGAGCTTGTTAGACCTGTGTGCTCCTGGCCACCCCGCCCCACCCCCCCGCCCGAGTCAGAAACTATGGCGGTGGGTCCAGTAATCAGTAGCTTCACAGGCCATCCACATGAATCTGATCGTGCTTAAGTCTGAGAGCCACTGCTTTAAAAATGCCACATGCAGCTGAACCGCTCGAAATCCTGATATAATTGATCTGGGGTGTGACTTGGGTGTGTTTTTAAAGGTGGTTCTGTGAAGCAGCTCGGTCTGGGAACCCGGGGTTCTTCTGTTCTGTGCCTCTATTTGAGATTATCTGTCAGGAGTTTGAGGACGTTTCATGGTGCTGTGTCACGAGCAGTCTTGCCTGGAAGTGTCCCCTGATGAAGACAATAGCCTGCTGCTCACGGGTGGCACTTCCCCCCTGGAGAGCAGGGGACCCATGGCTGACCTGTGGGAGCTGGGCTTTTGCAGCATAAAGACTTACCTTTGTGTAAACATATAGCGTGTGTCAGTGGAGTATTCCAGGGACCTTGGGAGTAAATCGGTTCTGACTCTCCTTTGAGCCACTTTGTTATTTATAAGCCAGCCTTGCAGCTCGGCTCAGCTGGTCCCTGCAGTCCTGTCCACGTAGTCACCCTCCTTAGCCTAGTCTGCAATCAGCAGGGAGGTATTGGAGGTGATTTGCTGGATCAGGGTCACCTCTGCAACCCCAGGAGAGAGAATGCCACATTAGGGTTTTGCTCTGTTCCTTCCTGCACCCTTACAAAAAGCAGGAGAGAGAGACCCCAGCATAAAATTACTCGCAGCTGAAAATTACCCTTTACTAGGAAGCAGGGGTTTTGTTAAGTCTCACGGTTTGGCTGTGTGTTCGGGCTTGATGTTGGTGTGTTATTTTAAACGTTAGGCTCCGACTTTACCTGAGTCAGTCTTGGTGGATCGTTTTTTTCTTTATCTGCTTTCAGAGTAAAGGACTATTGGTCCATTTTCTGCAGCTGATCTGACCATACTGTTTCCGAGGCAGGGGCATGACTGTAAGGCAGAGGTTCTTAGCCCTGGCTGTCCTGGGCATCACTGGAGGGGGGCGGCTTTAACAACTACTCACACCCCAGTCTTGCCCCCAGAAAGCCACTTTTATTGGTCTAGGGTGCAGCCTGGGCATCTGGTGATTAAAAACCTCCCCAGGTGATTCTAAGTTTAGCTGGTGCTGAGGGCCGCTGTGCTGAGACGCTTAGTACATGAGTAGTAGCACCTGTGGGCCAGCGGAAGCGGGTTTTCTCAGATGAGAACCACCAAGCAGGGCCACGCGGTGAAACTCAAGGGCAGATATATTTTATTCTCCCTTTTCCCTCCACTCAAGTCAGTGCTTGTCAAGGGCTAGTCGGTGACCAGAAACCCAGGGTGCCGGAGGATGATCTCATGGAATATTTGTCTAATTACCAGCTGCCAACCTCTTCAGGGGCGGGTACCAAGGATTGCTGACAAAATGATAAATTGTGCTTGTGTTTGCATTTTTGTCCCTAGAGCGATTTTGGAGGCACTCTTTTGATGGACTGTTTAGCCTTTAGTGAAGGAAATAAAATGAGCAAAACCAGGGTAGGGAGGATGTGCTGGAAATTAAGTACAAACAAGAGCAGCCATGCCAGGCTGCAGGGAGAAATGCCTGAATTTGCTTAAAAACCAGCCCCTTCTCAGAGCCCCCCAAGTCTCACGTCAGCTGCTCGGCCACGCGGGAGCAAGGTGTCTGTTTAAGGTGGTGGCAACTCAGGCTCTGTCCTGGGTGAGAACACAGACATAGGAACAAAGTGTGTATTTTGCTGCTAGCCCTTCTTGCTTTGTTGAACCCCTGAGTAAACTTTGTTGCTGTCTTGAGAAAGACAGTGGACCTTCTAAGAGGCTTAGCTAATAAGCATTCAATTAGGCCCTATGTAGTTTGGATTAACTTTTACACATGGTGGGGTTTAGAAACTGGGAAACTTAATTTACGAAGACACCAGCAAAATACATTCTTGAAGTTTCCCAGAAAACGTAATCAGAGTAATCCAAGATTTCCCAGGGGAACGTGTTTTTTTATGACAACGTGGCAGCCAGAGGTGTCCTTGATCTTGTGTTACCCCCGACCTTGGACGTGGCCCGGGGCAGCCAGCTGGCTCGTGCAGGTGGGAGGAGTCTGAGAACTCTTCCTCCTCCGTGAAGCACTCAGTTTACCTGCCAGTTGAGTCTTGGCAAGCTGCCACGTTCTTTGGGGGGAGAGAGGGACTGACACAGTAAAGGCCATTTGGAAGGAATCGCGGCCTTCTCTTGGGTGTTACAGAAGTTGCAATCTAGCAATCTTCTGGGCTCCCGGAGAGGGATCAGGCAGATCCTATTTCCTTTATAGCTCCTAATTTTAGGACCTTATAAACTAATTCATAAAATATCACTCCAGCTTGGAACTTGGCATGAAAATATGGAGCCTGGGAGCCTTTTTTCTTTTTCTTTTCTTTCTTTCTTTTTTTTTTTTTTTTGTGAGCATGAGTTTTTGAAGTTTTTTTTTTGAGGGAGGACTGTTCTCAACAACTAAATTGTACTTCGGATATTTTGAAATGTTTCTTGATTTTTTTTTTTGAGTGGATATTTTGATTTCAAAACTTTTTGCGATTCCTGTTTTAGTTTCTCCATTCAAATTATGCAAGAATTTGCATCTGTAATAATATCTGTATATACTCTGTAATAAATAATTGGTGGAGACTGTGCCTTGTATCAGTGAAGATTCATTTGGGTGGAAATGACAGAAATCAAACTGGCTTAAACACTAATGTCATCACTGCCTCGGGCTCCTGGGACTGAGGACGAGAGCGGGAGGCTGGACATCAGGTGGGCTTCTCAGCAGTTCCTTATCTGGCAGCTTTGTCTTCAGCTGGCTTCTCTCTTGGCGACAAAGAGGCAGCTGGGCTGAGGAGATAAACTCTTGTGTTTAATCAGGAGTTGAAGTGGGTTGACTTGGATCGCAACTTTTAATTCCTTTCAGTTCACCACTGGTTTCAGATGTCTTGAGGCAGGAGCAGAAGAGCTTAGCTCAGTTCCCACAGGACTGTGGAGCTATTACTCTGCGTGCCTTTCCACCCTTGTCCTGACTTCCTGCAAGGTGCCACTTACTTAGCGGGGGGCATAGCTCAGAGGTAGAGAGCGTGCTTAGTGTGCATGAGATCTTGGGTTCAACCCCCAGTACCTCCGTTAAAAAAAAAAAGAGACACCACTTACTTGCTGAAAGTCTGGTGGAGTAGGTTCGGGACACCTCTAATCCGGGTCTGATCTGTCATTCCAGCCCATGTGGTTGACAACGTCACAGTTCTGTTCTTATCCTTACAGTCTGTTCACGTAGAGATTTGGGTATAGTTAATATGCAGAATTTGGGGCTTTCCCTTTTTGGATCTCTCTTTCTAGCATGTCCAGAGTTATCTTCTAGTTACTTCTTCGCCCTGAAGTCTGTCCTTTGATTCTTCAGGCTTGCGGATCTCAGGCTTTCTGCTGGAGCACCAGCCGCCCTGTGTCGCACTGACTCAGTCTGTCTTCAGCCCTCTGTGCTGCTCTTTTCTTCCGGTCTTTGACTCCCCACCGAAATCTCCTGCACTGACTGACTTTCCCAGTAATGTGCTTGGTGTAAGTTTGCAGTTGCTCCCTGCAGGGGATTCAGGTCTGTTGGGAGCTTGTTGGCCATGCTTCCTTCCACGTGAGAGTGGGTCTTTGGGAATGGCTGAAATTGGCATTGTGGTTTAGAACATAGGCCTTTTTGTTTTAGTAAATGTTTTACGTGTAATTTAAAAGAATATGTATTCTGTAATTGTTCTGAACAGTGTTCTGTGCATGTTCATTAGTCGGAATTGTTGTGATGTCAAATCATTCATATCATTATTTTTGGCTTGCTTGATTTGTTTGTTTTAATTAGAGGTGTATTAAAAATCTCATAACTTATTGTGGTTTGACCTATTTCACCTTTGAATTCTGTCAGTGTTTTCTTTATAGGTTCTTAGGCAGTATTGTTTGGTGTATAAGGGCCTAGGAGCCGTATTTCTTTTATTTTTATTATTGTGTCCTGGGCCACTTTTTATCCCTGGTAAAGCTTTTGACCTCCTATCTGCCTTCGTCTGATACTAACATTGCCAGGCAGTTTTTATTTTGGTCAATGTTTACCTGTTTTTTCTTTTCCCTTAGTTTTATTTGCAACCCTTCTCTATCATGATATTTTATATGTTTCTTAAAAGTAATAGGTATCTGATTCTTTTTAAATGTCCCATTTGAGAGCATCTGTCTTTTCATTGGAAAAGTTAGTATTTTTATACTTATGGCGTTCCTGATACAATTACATTTATTTCTACCCTGTTGTATTTTGTTTTCCATTTATAATACTGTGCTTTTTCTTGGCTTCTGTTTGCTGAGAGTTAAATGAACTAATGCAGAGGGGTTTTCATTAAGTAGAAAGTATTCTTACAACATTAAGGTGTCATGTCTATATAGAAAAGA